ATTTTCTATTTTTATTACAACTGACATTTATTTTGAAAAAAGAGTGTCATAAAGAGAAGAAATTTTGCACATTCTCTTTGTTTAAGAGAATTTTTTTTCTTAAATCTTTACATTTATTAGTTGGACTTTTTCCAAACAAAAAAAGTTAAGTTAAATAGTTAACTCTATTTAGTGCTAAACTAGAAATGAATTTATGAATCACCTGTATTTCCAATAATTTCATTATATATAATTAAAAGATAAGAAATTTTAAAAATTTCCATTTTGCAAAAGCTCGTAACATAAGAGATCTCTACAAAAGCGCTCATAATTCACAAACAAACAATATATACTTTGCTTCTTTATATTAAACTCTCTAATAGTCTTTTCACTGCTTATCAAAAAACAATTTTATTCATAAATTTATTTTTAATTTATTATAAAATATAAATTAATTATTTCAAATCATATTTAAGAATGATTTTCGAAAGAAGCTTATCGCATATCAAAAGTCAAGGTGATCCATATATATATGTCTATCTTGTCACTTCGGTGTTTATTCACACGCTTTTTGTCTTCAACGGACATACATGCATCCTAACCTAAACCTAAATCTGCCTGTGGATTTCAATCATATCAATTGAATCTTTTATTTTTCTCTCTTTTTTTTTCCCTACCTCATTTGCTTTCTTTTGCATATCTTGCAAGTAGAAGTCAATATCCATTATTAAAAAAATTATAAATTTCTTAAATTTATATTAAATTGTTAGGTATTAAATTGTTAGGTATTTCTTAAATTTCAGATGGAGGAATAAATGTTGAAATAAAACAAATGAAAATTTTCAATAATCAAAAATTATTAATGTCAAACAATTAAGAATCAACAACTAAAATTTGAAGCGTACTTGTATAATCATTACTTGTCTTAGTTCATGATTATAGAATTTTTGAGTTACTCGTTTTTTCACTTTCTTTGGTATGATCTTCCAAACGATGGAACCATATAACAAATAATATTATTTTGCTGTTTTTCATTCTCTGTGAAGTGCTCGTTTGGCGTCATACCATGATAGATGAATTTTTCTGATTTTCAATTTGGTCCCTCTACAATCAAGATAAATTTTCTTGAATTTCAGAACTATCTTTCAACAAACAAAAAATCTCATAATCAATTATAAATTTTTAAGTTCAAAGCAGAGGCGGACCTCGGTGTAGTTTAGAGGGGAAACATTCATACTCGTTGGAGCCCAGTAAATCAATAGTGTTGCAAAATTCTTCTTAATTCATTTGGCAAAGTCTACTTTATCCAAATACTTATAAATATAAATATTTTGGCCAAATCAAACTTCATGATTGTATGATCTTTATAAGGTATTTCTACTGACAGTTCATGAATATCTTTGTAAAATAACCAACTGTATCATTAAATTAGGACAGATACGGAGAGCTTTTTTTTTATTTTTTTTTACTAGCTTACATAATCATTTGTGTATTGTATATATAATCCCCTCAAATTTAGCCATACAATGCATGAATGCTTGCCTAATCAACAATTAAGCTCACATTTTGAATTGTTTTGAGCTGTGAAAGAAATAAAACACATTTTGAATTGTTTTGAGCTATGGTGATAACTACGAGGCATAAAGGCTTTGAGCTATGGGCCCGAATGGAATGTGCCTAAGAAATAACAAATTATTTGGAATGGATTGGGCTTAAAATGAATATATCATTGAGTGTATCGAACATATCATTGAGTTTATTATAAAAAGTTTTAAGTCCGCTTTTGTAATAACAAACCATTAACCAAATAGAGAAATGTTATGGAGTCAACCACCAATGTTATAGTGCCACGTAGGCCATGTGAAAAAATAATTTTTTTTCACATGGCCTACGTGGCACTATAACATTGGTGGTTGGATCCATAAAGGAGCCAACCATTGGCTCCATAGCATTTTTCTAACCATATATGCATGATTGGTAGGAAGAAATGACATGGAAATGGAATGATCATTCCCTTACTTATTCTTTATCTCATGATTGGTATATTTTTTGGGAAGGAATGATTCATTCCAATGGAAATGGCAAAACTCATCTCCATGGGATTAGCCATTCTATAGTAAATGAAAGGTTTTCTCATTCCCATATGTATAGGAATCAATTTTTCAAAAAGAAAAAAAAATTAACAAATAATAATAAAAGTATATTATTTATATATAATTTATTAAAAGTATATTATTTTTTTTAAAAAAAAACTTTTATTTATTTTTATAATAAAAAATGATAATGTCATTTCATTCCAGTCCTATTCCTGCTGCATACCAAACGCATCAATGACAAAATATGTTTCATTCCATTCCCATAATCATTCAATTCTTCAATTCATTTCATTCCTACGAAATTTCATTTCATCATACCAATCATGCCAATATATTTTACCATCAGAACCAAAGTGGTNAATATGTAATAACTTTAATTTCTATTTTTTGGATAAATCCATCAACTATAGGGTTTTACTCTAACCTAAATTCAGTTCAGTAATTAAGACATAGCAATCATTTTCTTTTTCGGTTCTTAGAATAAAATATGTAATAGATTTAATTAATACTTCTTGGATGATCAACTTAATTAATTATATTATAAATTTCAAAAATCTCTTCTCATTAAATTGTTTAACAATTTAATGAGAAGAGATTTTTGAAATTTATAATATAATTAATTAAGGTTCATTCGATTTTACACTATCACCAAATTTTTAATTTTACATGTGTGTTGATCATCGATAAAAATTCCGATCATTGTAGTACATTGATATAAAGTTTGTAAGTGAAAGAAAAAAAAGAGGAAAAAAATGGTTTGTTACTTTCCGTAAAGAACTATCTCACTCAGTACTGCCTAACAAATCAATTGGATTGCTTGAGAGAGATGTACTGTACGCATCTTTTTCAGAAAATTGGACATGTGTGTAATATTTACTTGGAATATATAAAATATTATTTGGTCACATGTGAAACCCTTTACACCGCCGAAAATATCACCAACAAGATCTTATCGTGTTCATATATGTCCATACGTGCATATACATATAACATGATATGCTTTAATTCAGTGCTTTTTCAATGGTTCATTTATTTTAGCAGCGGCTGTTTAACTAAAGTCCTTAATTTATTGTCCCTCTGAAAATTAAACAGTCAATATTTCACACTGGTTATTGTGTTGGTTGTGTGTCATGTTGTACATGATCTCTGAAAATAATGTCCTTTCCCTAGAAAAGAAATGAGTTATCTATGTATGTTAACTCCAAATGATAATTGCTACTTGATTGTTGAAGGTATTAGAACAAAATGAACTGAGCTCGGTTGGTTAAGGCTTGAACTATCAAACGAGCCAAAGGTTTGATAATTAGGGTTTCTTTTACATAATCTCTCGAACATTTAATTAACATATATAATTTAGCTCATTAAGACTTGTTATCTAGTCAAGTTTCAGTTCGTTTATCAGCTTGTTAACTTAACGAGCAGAGCGCAATTGAAGCTCATTCTCGGGTGATTAAGCATATAATAATCCATGTTATATATATATATATATATATATATAGGCAAAATTTCAAAATTGGTCCTATAACTTGGCCACTGTCCAAAAAACCACCCCGATATTGACCACTTTCAATTTAGGTCCTATAATTTGTCGATTTCATCAATTTTGGTCCTTTTTTATCCGCCCCTGGATTACAAAGTGACGTGGCATGACGTGTCAGTTTTTCAATGTTACATGGCGTGATTATGATCTACGTGGCACGTCAATTTTGGTCCTATAATTTGACGATTTCATCAATTTTGGTCCTTTTTTCATGCCACGTCACTTTTTAATCCAGGGTACGGATAAAAAAGGACCAAAATTGATGAAATCGACAAATTATAGGACCTAAATTGAAAGTGGTCAATATCGGGGTGGTTTTTTGGACAGTGGCCAAGTTATAGGACCAATTTTGAAAATTTCCCTATATATATATATATATATAGGGGGTGGAACCAATGAGACCACTCCTTAAAATGAGTCCGTAAGACTCAATTTTAGCCACTCATTTTGTCTAGATCAAGGATTTATGTTAATCAATTAAAATATACATTAATTAAATAATAAAAATAATTATTAGTTGACTTCCGGCGTTGACCGTTGACTTCCGGCGAAAATCGTTGACTTCTGGCGTTGACCCGTTGACCATAATATGTAGTGTGTATGAAGTAAATACGGTGAGGCAAAGTTAGTGTAAATATGTTGCAAAGTAATTGTAAATATGTTGCAGGGTTAGTTGTATTCAGTTTGCAAGGTTAGTTGTCTGTAGTTGCAAGGTTAGTTGTCTTTAGTTGCAATGCTAGTTTTCTTCAGTTGCAAGGTTAGTTGTCTGTAGTTACAAAGTTAGTTCTATCTTATTACAGGGTTAGTTGTTTTTATTTGCAATGTTTAGTTGTATTCAGTTTGTAAGGTTAGTTGTCTTTAGTTGCAAGGTTAGTTGTCTTTGGTTGCAAGGTTAGTTATCTTTAGTTGCAAGGTTAGTTCTGACTAGTTGCAATGTTAGTTTTCTTTAGTTGCAAGGTTAGTTGTCTATAGTTGCAAAGTTAGTTCTATCTTGTTGCAGGGTTAGTTGTTTTTATTTGCAACGTTTAATTGTCTTTAGTTGCAAGGTTAGTTGTCTTTGGTTGCAAGGTTAGTTGTCTTTAATTATTCTTTCATAGATGTATACTAAGGTCAACGGGTCAACGTCGGAAGTCAACGGTCAACGCCAGAAGTCAACAATTTTCGCCGGAAGTCAACGTCGGAGTCAACAGTCAACGCCAGAGTCAACGGTCAATGGTCATAATAATATTTAAATAATTAAAAATACAGAATTATTATTTAAATCAAGATCTAAATCTTGTGGTTAGGAATGAGTCTCACGTCTTCACTTTAAATAAGCGGATGCATTGGATCCAATCCCTATATATATATATACTCATCAATTGTAATTTTTGGTGTCGTCATATATGATTTGGACGAAAGCCGGAGAAGGAATACATGTGAAGAAACACTACCGAGGCGTTAGGCTACGGCCGTGGGGCAAATGGGCGGCCGAAATAAGAGACCCAAAAAAGGCGGCCCGCGTTTGGCTCGGCACTTTCGACACGGCAGAGGAAGCTGCCCTCGCATACGACAATGCCGCACTCAAATTCAAGGGCTCCAAAGCCAAACTCAATTTTCCCGAACGAGTCCAATCGGGCTACATCATGAGCCATACTGTTGCTGCTGCTGCTGCTAGTCATCATCAACTAATAATCAAAGATGGCATCTATACGGACCCGACGACTAATAGTTTTCCTGCACCAGAAATATCTCCTCAATCGGACCCCTCATTGCTACGCAACTCATTTCCGGGTCTCGAGCAGTACGCACAATTGTTGTCGAGCAATAATGATGATGTCAATTTCCCGTATTTCACGAGGGATGATCAAAGTCGGCAGTTAGGGTATGAAGATTACTCGTCTGTCTCGACTGAAGAAATTGGTGATCATCTTTCAGCTTCCGGCTCGGGCAACTACTTTGAGCCTACAAACCCTTAAGTTATTATAGTTTCAGGTTTTGATATCATGTGTAGGCGCATGCAGCATATATATTGATTAAATTAGTTTAAAGACTTTCATGGATGTGTGTTTGTGTACGTGTCTATACATATGTAATATGTGATTGGCAGAGAAAGCTTGTTTTCTATTATGTATCCATATGTAGCTGGTGGGATTAATTGAGTACCATATATGGATTGATTCATATATATACATGGGTTTTGGTATTGATTTTTGCCTTTGCTAGTCTGCAAAGGATTGGAATAGTGTGATTGCATTTTCTGGTCTGCAAAAGAATTGAAATCACGAGCATTGATTGTTAGCTGATTGATATTAAATTAGTGAGTGAGAACCCATTTAGAGGAAATTCATATGTAACCCACACATAAAATTAAATTTATACAAAATCACAGATTAATTGTTATTTACCAGACATTCATTTATAAGTTAATACATTTGATGATACTCAAATCATCTATTAGTTATTGGCTCTTACAGTGAGTCATCCACTAATACAATTTAGAACAACTTGTGAACCTTTTCTGCTTGTTAACTCTGTGGAAATTTCCTTTTTCAAGTTATCCATTCTTTTATTTAACGTTGCACTTTTAACAATTGACGACTTCTCTCATGTAAAAGAGCAAAATGCTGATTCATATGGAATTATAAAATAAGCTTTAAAAAGATATTCCTTTACACCGGAATAATATTTTAAAAGATACTATAATATATAAATATTATTGAAACGTAGGTATTTTACGATGAACGCGCTCAACGTTGTTAGAACACAAATAAACAACTAGAATAGCGGAAGCAATAAACCGAAGATTTAAAAACTTTTCAGGAAGAGTCCCACTTCCCCTCAGAGGTCCTTCATTGATAAACCATTTGTGCACACTTGTATAGTTTGGGCTTACACGACTCAAACTCTCTTCTAGCCTAGCCACAACTACACACGATTCTATCAATTACTTCTTCGACCACGTCCCGTGGACTTTAACTCTCGAATCACTCGAGCTAAAAACAGTACTTAATCCCTAAGCACTGATCACAAAAGTGTTATGAATTAAACAAAGAAAAGAAAACAAAATGACTTCTGTTCTTCGATATGTAAGAACACCGAAAACTGAACCGAGAACTAAAATAAAAGAAGACTTGAAGCTCGAATAGTATGTGAATAATAATGATCTCAGCAGCCTTGATTTGTTCTTCAAGTAGGGTACATATACAACTCCTTATGATTGGTGTCTTCTCCAAGTTTTAGACTTTTTTTTTAGGAATCAATTTCCTTCCCAATTGATTCCTTTCAGATCTTGGACGAAATCCTTCATGTAAAGTAAGTTTCCTCGATGTAGAATTCGTGTATGTGATTTGGAAATCTTCATGATTGAGTTTTCAATGGAAATCACGTATTTCCAGACTTTGTAAGAACATGACTTTCCTAAAATAGCCGATCTTCCAAATCTTCAAAGATCTTGTGGTGAATCTTTCTAAATCCTCCTTATATCTTCTAGAGAACGTCCATAATTCTTCTTGTGTGAATATCTCATCCTTTCATAGTCCTTGTCACCTATTCCTTGTCCTACAAGAAAGAGAAAACTAATTATGGCATAGAATCAAGCTCATTAATGCATGTGGCATATATGGTAAGTAAATATATGAGATAATATTATGTAATTCTTTTCCTAAAGGTTTAGGACTCCATAATACACATTATAATAAATATATAACATATATTATTAATGATAAATAATAGGAACTTAATTAATTAACAAGTAAATAAATAGAAAACTTTCCTTTAATTTATTTTGCTTGCGTAACAAGAAAATCTTCTAGAAAACACTTAGGTTTTCGGATGATGCCAAACCAATATTCTTACAATTATGTTATATTATATTACATATATATGTGTGTGTGTGTGTGTGGTTTGTTTTATAAGATAATTTATATAATCACTTGTTATTGTTCAATTAAAATTACCAGATAAAATTTTATTTTTATTTATATCAATACTTAAATATGTTTTTTAAATGTAAATACACACTATAAATATCAAATAAAAAATAGCAAAAAGTGTTAATGATAACCAAATAATAAGGTTAAAGTTTTTAAAAATAAAAGAAACACATTTGTTGTTGTAATCATATAAAAAAAGATGGGAAATTAACAAATCAATTGAGTACAAAATCGATTTTGATTGAATAGAAAATAAAATGTTAGTTACATAAATTATAATACCTTCCGGAAAGTTAATATGAAAGCCAAAGCTGATGCAATGTTACAAACTCAAAGTTACAATACACAAGGAATCCAAGCAACCACAAAAAGATGTGCCAATTAACAAGAATGAGATGCTACTAACTGGACTCAAGAATGTCAGTATCAACAAGATTAGGGAATCAAATCCCATGTGCTCTCAATTGGCTTTAGTTGACCAAGTCAACTCCATAATTTTGTCATTCTAAAAGTAAAAACTCACATTTTGCTACTTCCACCTTTTCATATAACATGAAAAGAGATCTCTTCATGGCAGATTCAAAATTTAATACCACGTAAAAGCAATAGCTCGAAAACTACATTTATGAGAGAGCTCATTACAAAACTAAAAACCTTAAATGTGCAAAACCACAAATGGCAACATAACTCTCAAGTATATGGATGTTATTGATAAGCCTGATTTATAGCCACACCCCAGTTTTAGTTCAACTGAGATAAGATAAACGTAACAAGAGGGCCAAAACTAAGGGACTTGCTGGAAAAGACAAATCATAAACCGAACTAGGAATATGTACAAGGCACATAAATGTAGTCTATTCATTTCTTCTTTGAAGCAGACTTGTTTGCAGCAGCTTTCTTCGTTGCAGAATTTTTCTTCTTTGATGTTTTGAAACCCATTCCACTCTCCTGTTTATCACGATAACAATGAAATGACAAACGAAAGAACCGTTCATCAAATACAGTAATTCTAAATACATAGGAAAATTGTGCAAAACAAAATAAAAAAATGGTGTCAAATACGCAAGACATAACCTGTTGAACGCAAAACATAAAACCGTATGTCATTGTCAGTTTAGGCAAATGGAGTGCACTATACAGCCACACTTCTCATAAATAAATACATCCCAAAATGATCATCAGTTCATACCTTTTTATAATGCCTGTAAGCAATTTGACCAGTTAACTCCTTCCCCTGTTTGTTCACATAAACCTGAAAAGTATTAAGCAGTTCAGCATTAATTAACCCAAGGAAATATTTAAGAAAACTTCTACACACACACACTCAGCTGGGGGAGGGGAATGCTAATATTACACAGCTGGTAACTTAAAAATCAGAAGTTAAGGAAACTAAATTATAAAGGATAACAAGAATTATTAGCATAAACGCAAACCATCTTATGAGATCTGCACATGAAAAAAATTGAACTTACTCGTTTACCATCTGGCCCTGTGTACCAGTGACCAGCTGATTTACTCACTGCTTGCACCCTTCTGCTGCCACCATTTTTTTGAAGGCCAGCACAAGTTCTTGGATTCACCCAGCTGGTAGAAGCTTCTGATACGCTCTCAACATGAGATTGCTTTACAGGTCTCTTGCTTCCCTTTCCCCTCGAACTTTTCTCCATATTTCGCTTCTGATTTGTCTGCTTAGTGCCTTCATGACAAAATTGGCCCCTAAAACAAATGCAATGGTTGGTTCATATGAAAGACGTACAAACTAGTTAATTAATAGTAATACAAAAATATTTAATGGCCTTACAAGTAATCAATAGCCACCCCATTCTGTTGCTCATATTCTTTGTTATTTTCGACTCCCAAGGGGAAGAAGTAGGGTAAACGATCACGAACTAGTTTCTGAACTCTTAAATCTTTGTGGAAAAAGTAGCCACGGGCAGGAGGAAGCGTTGGCTTGTCCAATTTAGTCTCGTTGTAACTATCTTTACAAACAATTTCTGGTTTACTCTTATTTTTCGCAATATCGAAATATTCTTCCAAGAGCTCGTCAAATGCGGGTGTAGGCACGCGGAGGCTTTTATCAGAAGGGAAGTCTTTCCATAAGTCTTCACTTTTAGATTTGCCAGTTGATTCTCTTCTCATCCCCATACTGAACCGAGAATTTGGATGTTCATCCTTTGGCAGTGACAATTTTACAACAGGTTCTTCTTTGGGAGGGTCTTGAATCATGGAAGGATCATCGGAGTCTGAATCAGAATTGATCAACTGGTATCTTCTAACAGGACTTGCTGTTAATTTAGGATTAAGTGTTTTGCCGCCATTTATTTCTACATTCTTTGAGGCCGACACATACGGAACTTCTTTTGCCTTGTTTGATTTAAATTGGGTTCCAGATTCTGTAGTTACAACCCCTTGCCTGTGCAAAAGTGAAGGCTTTGAGCTGCTACATACAGAATTTATTCTTCCTGCTATTTAGAACAGAGAACAACATTGGAAATTCTCAAAATTATCATCTCAGCATACACATAATAAGACTGATCAAACAACATAAGCCAATAAAGAAGATGCCTATGGGAAACCACAAATCCACAATGACAATGATTAAGAAGGCTTTCAAACGAAACATTCTTTTCACGAAACATCTTTACAATGAACTCACATGGTATATTCACATTGAAGCTATATTTCCATAAAGGAAGTAGCTTTTCCTCTTGATGAATATAATCCTGTTTCTTACATCTTATTCTATCGTTACAACATCCAAAGGTTACTATTCAGTTAATCTACAAGTCATAACTAAGCCTGCTTTCCAATTTCAACTATAAAACCATCTTTCAATCTGTATACAAGTCTGTTTAAAGTAAATCCACAGCAAATGACATTAATATTCATCGAATCAGAAGATAAAAGCAACCCAAGCTACACGTAATTTCTATATGTACCCGAAAAACAAACCCTCATTTACGGAAGTAATCAACAAGAAGCCATATGAAAGTTGGAGTATGAAAGTTGGAGTCTTTCAGTACCTCTGGGCCAATCTTCATCTGAAGAGAAATCCTCAATTTCCTCAATGACATCAAACAGCCCACCAATCGACTCCGCCTTTCGGGCCTCATGTGCGGGCCGAACAACCTTGGGTCCACGGCGAAGCCTCTTGAAATCACAAGATTGATCAGTAACCCTAATAGGGGTTTTGAAATCATCATTGTCATCGTCTTCCTCTAGTTCACGGGAACTGGCCGACGTTGAAGGCCGTTTAGCTGGTTGGGGTAATGGGTCGGGTTGAGTCTCCAGATCGAGACCCAAAGAGAAGGATGGGGGCTCAAAATCATAGTACGCCATAGTCAATAAAAATTGTGCAGTTAGTTTCTGTACTTATTATATAAGCTCGAACAGCGTGCAGTGGACGGAAAATTTTCATTCAATTTTTGGGATTTGCCGCCGGCGCGTTTTAGCGAGGGAGATAAAAAGGATTCAANTTTCTTTCTTCTTTTCCTCCTTTCTTTCTTCAAAAAACCCATTGTTGTGACCTTAACTAATATGGGATTGAATTATAAATTAATAATTTTGATTAAATAATATTTATAAATTAAAAACATAAAATCAATATATAATACCATGTACGTATATTGATTTATTAAAAATTAGATTTTGTAAAATTACATTCAAATGTCTATTTAAAATTAGGAGTAATGCTATAAGTACATAATATTGTACATAGGACACTCACATTGAGTAGGACCTACCAAAAATAAAAATTCAAGTGGACCCCACTCCATGTGAGTGTTATGTACATATCTATGTACATTTATTATGTACATGTAGCATTTTCCTAAAATTAGTACATAACTCGTGCGTTGTACACAACTGATAATAAATTACAATACATCTATATATATATAATAAGAATTAACATTTACTATAAATAGTAGTAAAGAAAAGTCAACCCACATTTATTATATACTATTTTCAGCAACTTTTTTTATTTTACATTTTAATTTTAATTCATTATCAAAAAATTAGATGGTTCCTAAATTAATGGGTTTTAGATGACGTATTCTGTTTCAAAAATTATAATTCATTTAAAATCGGATGATTCCTAAATTAATGGTTACAAACTTTTCAAAGTTGTAATCTTTATGGCATTTTTTCTTTTTGACTTTTAATAATAAAATCATTTTAAATATATTATTCTAATCTAAAAATTCAATCATGTTATATATATATATATATATATATATGTATATATTGCACGCTAAAATTATTTTTTTAATTACATACCCAATCTATTAATCTTTATTTTTTTTAATTACTATGTTTATTTTTTATTAATATGCATAAAATAAAAATAAATAATTCATCTTTAGATATATAATTTATAATCTTAATATACTATGATTTGGTGTAGACATATGAATCATAATTTTTTTTTTATTTCATAAAATTAAATATTATATTTAAAGAAAATAATGAAATTACTTTGGATCAATCAGGTGATTGAATTAGGGTACTGCCCACGTTGATTGAATTACTTTTAGGTGATATTTAAAATAGTAAAAAAACATGACATAACTTGGTTGGTTCCAGGTGATTAAGTTATGTATCAGTTTGACCAGACTAAATCGATTATTGAACCTAAATATAAATTTTGATATTGAAAGTACTTTATTATGTAGTCCAAACTTCAAGTAATCATATTAACAATACTTTTACGACAACATAATTAATGATTTATGAATATTTATATATCATTTTATTATTATTTATGTGAACAAAATAATTATTTTATTATCATTTTTATTAATGTACAGTCAATACAAGGTTTTCAGAACTGGACCGTCATCGAAACGATCAAGTTATTTTATTAAATCATTTGTGGTTGTTCAAATTTTAATACATAATACTTTAATATATATATATATATATATATATATATATATATATATATATAGTACTTTTTGTAATAAATTTAAATAAAAAGTGTTACTTAAATATCTAAATAATTTATAAATTCAAATGTTTAAACTAATTGATAAACAATTTATAAATCTCTATTTTATTTAAATATGTAATTTTATTTAAAATAATTTTTAATGTAACAAAGTTTGTTTAGAAAATCGCATCGATCCTACCAGTCTAACATACTGATGTTGACGGATTCAATAGCAAATATTTTATTCAAGCGCAATAGACTGGTTATAAACTGGTTCTCGGTCCATCAGGTCGGACTGTGTCTAACCCGGTTTAATTTAAAAATAATGGATAAATCATGATTAATGTTATTTATTTATTTAATTTATAATACAATCAAAATATTGTTTCCCGTGCATCGCACGGGCCACACACTAGTTTGTTTCAAAAGATTTGTCATTTCAAAATTTTTATTTAGAAATTCGATTTGACTATAACGTGATTCCATAAAATAATTATTTTGGTTAAATTTTATCATAAATGTAAAAACATATGTAAATAATAAGTATAAATATAAAACTTATATTGCTTTATTAACTAAAATTTATGTTTGTATAAAATATTCAAATAAAAAAATTTAAGTAGATGAGTAAAAAACAATCAATCATAAGGATTTTTATGCCATAAAAATCGACACTCTTTATCATGCTAAAAAAATTAACGGTACATTTTACACAAAAATTATTTGAAATATTGTAATAAAAAATGAATTAAATCCAAACACACTTATTATGTAATAAAAAAATTGACCTGAGCTTTTTCTATAAAAAAAACATCGATACACGCACATTATATTAAAATATATGTTCATATTATCTTGTCGGAGTTACGGTAATTTTATTATGTTAATTTCATACGTAAAATTGAAATAAATATTGAAACTCAATCCTAAAAACCAATATATTGACCTACGCATTACAAAAAAATACACCATATATTGATTAATTTATTTCCCAACCATCAATAGCAAAACTAAATTCATCCACTTTGTACCATATAATAATTAATTCACATGATTTGAGTAATTAAAGTATCTTAAAATATTGCTTAATTACTTCCTTAAATAATGAGCTTCAATTTCTATAAGTAATTATTTAAAATATACCATAAATTGTTAAATTAATTTTTCAATATAGTAGATAATTTTTTGTTGGAGGAAAATGTTACTATTTAAAAAATAATCAAACCTTTTTGTATTATATAGATTTGTTGCCTATTGGTGAAATGAATTTACTAGTTACATTATCATAAGTAAAATGTTTAATTTTGGTCCAATTATGTTTTTTTCCATGTTAATTATTTAAATATGAATTCACATGCACTCATTTAAACTAAAGAAAAATATTGTTTTATTATGAATGTTGTTATACCAGTAATTAATTTATTTAGTAAAGTAAAACAATCAAATCTCAATTACACTAATTAACTTGTTCGATGTCCTATTAATTAGCTTCTACAGTTCAAAACGTTTCCAACAAGATAGACATGGCCACGGGCCGAATCGGCCCGCAACTCGGACCGGCCCGTAACCAGCCATATAAGGGCCGGTTCGTAGGACTGAACCGCAAGGGCCGCGGTTCGGTCCAGGTTCAAAAAAAAAAATTTCGTCCCGGCGGTCCGGTCCGGACCGGGTCGGGTCACGGGCCGACCGCTGGCAACGGTTTTGATCTTTTTTCTTTTTAAATATTTTTTATATTTGCCGGGTCGGGCCGGGTCAACCGGACCGACCCGGCAACCTGTCAGGATCCGCGCGCGCCTGCGCCTGCCCATACCTAGTAGCCGTTGGGTCTACCCGGGCCACGGGTCTGGCCGGTCCGGTTACGGGCCCAACGGTCGGAATTTTTTAAAAAAAAATAATAATAATATGGGCCGTTAGATCGTTGTGATCCAACGACCCAGATCTTTGTACCCGCCGACCCGCCGGGACGACCCGTGAACCGGCGGGTCCC